CCCCCCCCCCCCCCCCCCCCAGGTTTATAAAAAGATTAGTAAAAAGATTAGATGTGTAATGGCCTAAGCCCACCGCTAGCAATTATTATCCTCTTTGGACTTTTCCTTTCGGACTTCCCCTCAATGTTTTTAAAACGTGTTTGCTAGGGAGAAGTTTCTACATCCTTATAAAAAATGCTTTGTTTTCCTCTCAACTGTTGTGAGATCTCACAATTGGAATCCTACAGTCCTTGTAGCATGACGATCTCGAGTCTTGACCGATGGATACATAATTTTGCAGGTCAGTCTGCTTACTGAAAATGGAAACACTAAGGATGACCTGAGGCTTCCCACCGATGATAATCTGCTTACGCAGGTACACATGATGATACAGTTAAGTCATTACTAAGTAGCTTTCTGCAATGTCATAAATTGTTTCATTCATTTTCATGTCAATAGCTTAAAGATGGGTTCGCTGAAGGAAAAGATCTTGTTCTAACGGTTATGTCTGCAATGGGAGAGGAGCAGATCTGTGCTCTCAAGGACATCGGTCCTAAAGGCTAAACACAAAGCTTTGGCTACATCTGATGGCTTAAAATCCCCCAAACCAAAGTTCTATCAAGTATGTTACATGTAATAAAACCATATTATCAGCACTACTTAATGTCTACTGATCCTTGGACAATGCCGAAAGGATTGGATACATATTTACTTTTAAAACTGCCTGTTGACAACGTATCATTTGAACCCTTTTTGAGTTTGCCAAAGATCTTGGAATCCGCTTGTTCAGGTTGTCAGCCTGTAATGAAATAGGAAGATAAGCTCACGTTTGTGCTGTTCATCTGGTCTCTTTTCCCTTTATTCTTTCATTAAAGGTTATTATTAAGGGCATTTTAGGCAATGAGTGGCTGTTGTTTCCACGATCCAACCGAGGAAAACAAGTTCGACCTTCACAATTATACGATATTGTCTATATAAACTCTCATGGTTTTACTTTGGTTTTCTTGAAATGTCTCCTACCAATGAATACGAATGGTTTGCTTATAAATCTAAAATTAGCCAATGTGATACTTCCTCTTGACTCATTATTGTTCAAGAAGACTCAAACGTATACTCTCTTGTTTTTAGGTGTATGTATGAATTAGGTGAATCAATTGAACTGGATTCAAGTTCATTTACTTTTAAAAAGGTTAAAAATGTTGATTTTTCTACTTATTTTTTTGAAGGGCACTCAAATAATATATTTTAAAATTCTAATTGAAAATGAATAGTTTTAAAGTTGGCTGAATTTTGAGGGAAATTTCCCTCCAAATTGGCCACTTATTTATTAAATTAAAGATTAAAACTAATTATGGGTTTTAAAAATAATACAGGGGACATTGATAATTAAAAATATTCTTTCCGATTTTAATGCACAAAATCTTTGTCTAGCTAAATTAAATAATAAATACCAATTATAAAGTAAACAATACAATTTTAATTTACCCCAATTTTTAAATAGAAGAATAAAGGAAGAACAGAATCTGGGGAATAACAAAAATCAGTTGCGAAAAACAATTAAATATTTAGAGAGTGGAATTAGTCAGTGTATTGAGTCCAAAGAGAAGTCCCATGAGGCCGCCTCCGCCGTGAAAGAATCCAACGGTGATCCGACCATCGAGCGAGATCGGGCGGCTGTGCAGTGACGGACAAAGTGACGGAGTCCGTTACCCAAACCACCTGAGTCAACTACAGTCAAAGACACCCATGCCAATTTCGGGCTTTAAAGTAAGCGTCTCTCTCTCTCTCTGTCTCAAGATGTTTCTCTCACCTAATCTATTCTTCTATATCACTCAGACGCAGACACCGATACTCGAGTTTGGAATCGCCTTCGCTTCGGACATTATAAAACAAAGCTGTATTAATCGGTGACTTTACTCTCCCTCTCTCTCTTTTAGCTAGAAGTGGCCATGGCGGAGCCAGAAGGGTTTGATTCTAATCAACTCGGAAGCTCGAAGGCTTCTGCAGGGCAACAGGATGACGAGGAAGAAGAAATGGAAGATTCAGAGAATGAATCAGAGGTGGAGTTGGAGGAACATAAACTGAGTGAGTTGAGGACAGGTTCGTCGGTTACTGAAGCTGCAGTGAAGGGGTCTTGCTCTCAAACCCTAGCGCCGCCTTCTGCGAATCAGTCCTCGGAGAACGGTCGGTCTGATGGTAGGTTTGTTGTTACTGGAATTGATTCTGCCACGGTGGATGGATTATTTAGTTCTTAAGTAATTGCTGTTTGTGGTTTTTTTTTTTTTTTTTTTTTTTTTCCGTGGGTGATATTTTGCTGTTGATCCTACAGGCTTGCCTGACAATTCTGCTGCCGAGTCACTCGAAGGAGTTGAATTGAAGGTAAGAAGCTCGATCACTGCCGTTTTTTTTTTTAGTTCGTGTCTTTGTTTTTTCGTTGACAATTGTTTGCTTGTATTGGTTTTATTTGTTTAATATTGTTTGCTTAAGTCCATTGGTGAGAATTCAACTAGTAAATTAAAGTAGTTCTAAAGTAATTATGAGATCTTTTTTTTGCTGATCATTCGGGTTCTTTTCGTATACCCCACTGTTGAAGTTGAATCGATCCTTCTAAAGTTAAGCTCCAGCCTCCAGCCAGTCATCAAGACCAATCGCAATCTACAAATTATTCTTGAGTACTGCTGAATTTTTCTTTCTGTGTGCTGCTTAATTATCCGTGCTTGAACAGGATTGAATCTTTGTTCTCTTGTGCTCACATTTGTGTGAAATCATGCGTTGAAGTCAACCTCTAGTGAAAGGGAAAACATCATGTCGGCTTTTCATTTCTTGAGCTACTTCTTCTTTCCAATCTTATTGGACAAATAAAAATTTCAAGTATTTTCAATTCTTCTTTGTATTAGTCTCGGTTATGCTGTTGGTGTTTGTTCTTGGTTCAATGGCATGATTCTGCAGAAATATGAGCTACATCTTTGTAGTTATTGCTGATGTTATTTCTAGGCATAATGACAATCATGCGCGAGCATGCTGCTAATGAAATGTCGTGGATTAAAACAGAATGTGATTATTGGTTATTTCGAATAAAAAGAAACATATTGTATCTATTAGCATAGTTTCAATCCTTTTCTTTTGATTATTTGAGAGAAGAATCATTGTTGTGGATCATGGATGAATGAGCGGCCTAGTTCAGAGTCAATGTCATATAAGCGTGGCATGTCAATACTTTTTACCTCTACGTTAATATCTAATGCAAAATGATGTGCATTTTCACTGGACTCCACAAGGATGCAAGAGTTTTGCCTTTTTTTTTTTTTTTTAAATGCAAAATGATGTACTGAAAGTGTATGAACCTGAACATTGAAAAGGTGGAAGAAAATTAAAAGTAGAACAAAAAATAACATTTTGATGGCAGGGAAAATTTATTGAAGATATTTCTCTTGCTGAATTGTATATAATTTATCTGATTCTGATTGAAATTGATCGAGATGGAGTTTCAAAACTCAATCTTCACGTGTTTCCCCTTATATCCGGTCTATGAGCAATCTATTGTCATTGTCAGAGGCATCCAAGGTATAAGCCGAGATTGCTAAAATTCTCTTCAAGGAGGGAAGAAGTGCCTCTCTAGGTTTGGTCTCTGCAAGAATTCAAAAAGTGGCCTGTTCTTTTAAAGGCTAAGCTCTTTGATGAAGTAGTAGCAATATCTGGAGTGTCCTTTGTGCTTGTGCTCTGCAGGATATTTAATCAAGAGGAGAATACTTTCCTTAAAAAAAATTAGTTGTGTTTTCAAATTAATACATTGATCGTGGATGCATTACATGTTAGTCCTGCCGTCTATGTTGCATCATATTCATAAGCATAATATTTTGTGATCTGGCTAACCTGTATTTGTGAAATTTAGGAAATGGTAGGGAAATAGATCTTTCGTGCTTACAAATGTTAATACTGGTCATTTGCGATCAAACATGAAGCATAGACCAATCTTTTGTCATATTCTTGATGTCTTCCCGCTATATTAATTTAACTATGGTTCACATTCTGTCCTTAAAGCACTTTGACTTTCTGGATTTTTTAGTCCATATTTTCCCATTATTAATACAGCAATGTTCATGTTGCTAAGCTTATTGACTGGTATTTGTCTCCCATAAAGATGTAGTTTAAGATGTTCTTTTGAATGGAAGTTTGATGATTAATCATTGACGTTATTTTCTCTATGAGAGATGGATTCATGGTATCTGGAAATGTGAGGAACAGTCTGATGTAACTTAAATTTCTTCAAAGATACATTTCTTGAATAAATAAATTTGAATAGTTGACCCAGCTCCTTGTTGTTTGAAGAAGCCCTAAGTCAGGAAGTGTGTTTTGAGAGAATTTCTGAGCAATAGAGTTTGTGATGCAACCACTTGAGAGTTAGTAACTTGGGTTTCTAGTTTCTGATATTCATGAGTTACAGAATCGAGTGCATCACAATAACTTACGAGCTAGGTTCCTTATTGATGTTTTGATGTTTTAGCATATTGCTGCCCTCACTGTCCTTTTTTTTTTTTTTTTTTTTCCTTCCTCCTCTCATAAGCATCAAGCTCCATCTGCCAGCAATGTTGAAGCAATCCAGACAGATCAGGTACAAGAACAAAGCCAACTTCAGATAATAGTATATAACGGACCTGATTCAGAACAATCACCAACTTCAGTTACCCAGTCTATCTCATCCTCTGCAAGTCCAAGTTTATCCGAATATAAACTGGCACCTAAGAAGGTCCATAAAGAATGTAAGCCAGAACCAAGCCAGAAGAATTCTTCCGACCGTAAAACTGTGTTCTCTGTTCCCAATGTTAGGACACCTGCTTCTGATGGTTACAATTGGAGGAAATATGGTCAGAAGCAAGTGAAGATTCCAAAGGGTTCACGTAGCTATTACAAGTGTACATATTCTGGATGCTGTGCTAAGAAGATTGAATGTTGTGATCACTCAGGCCTTGTAACAGAGGTTGTTTACAAGAGCCAACATAGCCATGATCCTCCTAGGAAGATTAGCAACCCCAAGGAAAGTATGCTTGTGCCTTATGTTGAACCTGTGGTTAAGAAAATCATGACAGAACATTCTGTAAGAATAATTAACGATTCAGATCCTCCTATATCTTCAAAAGAACCGTTACGGGAAACAGCTTCAGTCGTTGAAAGAAAACGACAGTACTCGAATGACTCTGACGGAAATGATGAATCTAAAATCAAGAATGAGAATGACAACGAATACGAAACAAAACAAAAGTAAGTCTGCATCTCGAATTGCTGAACTTTTTTTGTTTCTGTTTTTGTATGTAATGTTTAGCATGTATGAGCAAGATCTAGTGCTAATCTTTTGTTTCCTTACTGGTAATCAGAGTTAAGAAGAGCAGTGGGGGATATTCAGGCACTCCCTTAAAACCTGGAAAGAAGCCCAAGTTTGTGGTACATGCAGCGGGTGATGTGGGGATCTCAGGTGACGGATACAGATGGCGTAAGTATGGTCAGAAAATGGTGAAAGGAAATCCTCATCCTAGGTGCATGCCTTTTCATAATTTATGCTTTACGGCCATTATAACTTGCTTTATTTGATGGAAAACAAGATTGTTCTTTGATTTAAACTATATAAACTTTGGTTATTCCCGACTGTCCTGGACTATTCTGCTGGTGCCAAAATAATTATGCACGCCGCTTTATAGTTCCTCGGGACATTACCCATATCTTCAAGTCTGATTTTGATTGTTGATGTTTCTTTTTAAAACTTTACAGGAACTACTACCGATGTACCTCTGCTGGGTGTCCAGTCCGTAAGCATATCGAATCAGCTGTTGAAAATCCAAGCGTAGTGATTATAACATACAAGGGAGTTCATGATCACGACATGCCAGTACCGAAGAAACGACACGGTCCTCCTAGTGCACCTCTTGTAGCTGCTGCAGCTCCTGCCTCCATGGGCAATATGCAACCAAAGAAAACAGACGCAGTTCAGAGCCAAATTTCTTCAACACAATGGTCTGTGGATGCTGAAGGAGAGTTGACTGGTGAGGCCTTGGATCTTGGAGGTGAGAAAGCAATGGAATCTGCCCGAACACTTTTGAGCATTGGATTTGAAATCAAGCCTTGCTGAACGTACGCCTTTCAAGGAATAACTGTGAGACTCTTTATGAACATGTATCTGTCTCTATGTGAAATATTTGATTATTTTTCGAGCTATTTCCTTTTGTTTTTCCTTTTTTCATCCCTCTCTTTCTCTTAGTCATTTATGTAACAGTTGTGTAAATTTGGTTGTTATACACCTCCCTGATGTGGTTAAGAGATGATTTGTACCGTTTTTGCTAACATCTCTCTTATAGGGTCAGCCTCAAATCCTTGGATTTTGAAGAGACTAGTAGCCACCTATTCTCATGTTCTCCCCCCTCCAATTTATCAATGAGAGACTGTAATGTTTCGGATTTATGAGAAGATTAAGGGTCGAAATCAATTGTGAATGGTACCATATTAAGTATCTCGAATGATAATCATTTGTTCGTGGGTCGTTTTCAAAAACTATTGAATAAATAGTTTTCGAAATTTGGTTAAGAATTTAAATATTTTTTTAAGATAGGTAACGATATAATATAATCACTTTATTGTTGGTAGATCGATCTCAAAACAAGAAGAAAAAAGAAGAAAGAAAATAGTCACCTTGGCCTTTCAAGATTAGTCACGTGATCCAGGCATCGAGTTGTGGGCACTCACGTGCGTCGTCAAACCCCAGTGCCCTGCCCTCCCTTCGGACATGACCAAATTAGATTAGGATTTCTTTCCCTCTCCCTCTCTAATCTCATCTACTTTTGATTCTTTACCCGTACCGGAAGGATCGAATGTACCGATAAGTTCTAGCTTCTGCTGATCCTTTTTGGTTTTTAAAATCAGTAATCAACAAAAAGTCGGGATTTTCGAATTCTGGAAGAAAAAAATGAGTGTTACTTTGACTGTAATGACATTCAATCTCCATGATGATCAACCACCAGAGAGCTCAAATTCGTGGGAGAAGAGGAGGGACTTGTGTATCAGTGTCATCACTAGCTACTCTCCAGCGATTCTCTGCACTCAGCAAGGTAGCTGCCTTTTCCTTTACTCCTCTGCTACTTTACTTTATGGGATTTCATATTTGATCCTGTGAATGCTTTGTGGATCTTGATCATTGGTGTGATTTTGTTGCAATAATTGATCTGGGTCTTGTTTGAATCGAGTTTTCTTGGTGGGTTTTTGGTGCTTTATGATTTCATTCGAGTTTTGGGTTGTTTTGTTAGGAAGCTTCAATGGAGTAGTGTGGCCATTTTGGTGGAACTTTTTTTTTGTGGACGAACTTCAATGATCTAGGAAGAAATTAATGAACTGCTACCATTTGCTTCTCTGATTCCTTCATTTCTCTATTGGGTTCAGGTGTGAAATCTCAGTTGGACTTTCTTCAGCAGGGCTTGCCTGGTATGTTAGCTTGTTATTGTTCAGTTCATATTGGGTTAGAAGTTCTTTTTGTATGTTCTCTACGAATGTGGAGCTGAAACTTTTAACATCTTTGAGGGGAAGATCATAAAGCAAGTTCTTATAACTTAGAAGTATTAATTTTCTTTCAGGCTATGGCCAATTCGGAGTTTCAAGAAAAGGATCCAGAGACATATCAGATGAACACTGCACAATCTTCTACGACAAGGAGAAGGTATTGAATTTTGGTTCAAGTCTGATAATCTAGTGTGGTTTTTTATGCTTCACTGTTTGTTTCTATGATTAAAAAGGTTGAGCTGTTAGAAGGTGGCACATTTTGGTTATCAGAATCACCTTCTGTCCCGGGAAGCATGTCGTGGGGTTCGATCATTCCGCATATTGCAACGTGGGCGATATCCTTGAGATTTCATTATATTTTAACGTATCCATTAGACTTTGTGTTATTTGTTAACTTGACAGACTGCCCACACATTCGAACTGAAAGGAATCGAGCCTCCTGGGTTCTCATTTCAGATAGTCAATACGAGCATGGATGAGCTCAACCCTCGTGCTCGTAGACGAAGCGCTTTACTTACATGGCAGCACATTGCATCCTTACCTCCTAGCTTGCCAGTTATATACTGTGGAGGTTTCAACACAGAAAAGGAATCAACTACTGGTCGTTTTCTTCTTGGGAGATCCAGGTAACTGAAACAACTTTTTGTGTCTTAATCAGCCTTATTAGCTCGCATAGTTCATTTATCTTAACAGATCTTGTCTTCCATGGTGGCAGAGAAAAAGGTGCAGTTGGGGACATGAGAGATACATGGGCGATTGCTCGGGCGAGGAAGAATGTTTCTCTTATTCGAACATATCATGGCTTCAAAGGTATGCAATTTAGCTAAGACAAACTTGCTATGGAACTTGTTCGACCTTTGCTCGACTCCTTGAGAATCTTTTTTCAGGTGACAAACAGGGAGCTTTTGAATTTTTCAAGTTGATTCTAAGAGCACTCTGCCTTTGCTGGGATCGCCAGACCCAAGATCTACATGTAGATTGGATTCTTTTCAGAGGTAGATCTTTGATCCCTGTCGTGTGCGAAGTGGTAAACGATAATATCGACGGATTTTACCCGTCGTCTCACTACCCTTTGTTTTCCGAATTCATGCTTCCTCGTACCGTCAGAATGCTCGAAACAACAACTACTCACGAGTGACACTAAATCACCATTCGTTATAACTCAGAATTCTCCATTGTTCTCTGTTTAAGCTCCAAATGATGTGTTTGTTGATGTAGACGTTCATGTTTATAGCAGCAAGTTTTCTCTACTGTTTTACACTGTATGATAACCGTCAAATGACCACTTGAATTACTTCCAAAATGGTCATTGGTATTAGTTTGCTTCTGAGAGACAAGAAGTTGTTTCAAGAAATCACATTCTTGATTTTCTCTCTGCTGAATCTGATGGAAAGACAGTTGGGACTCTTTGTCAACCAGTATCTATTCATAAGAACAATTAGCTTAGCACAAGTTTCACAGTAATAAGGTTACTGGACATGGGGAATTTCATTTCTTTTTTCGCATGGAGAGACAGATTCATTTTAGAATTGTGAGATTGATGACGCTACGTAACGGATCAAAGCGAACAATATATGTTAATAGATTAGATGATTAAATATTTATTAGTGGACTTGAAAGTTACAAAAAGATTAAATGAACTAAAAAGAAGCTTTTTAAAATAAGCTGGTGATGTTGGAAATAATTTGTTGATGTTGGAAATAATTTAGAAAATTTGAGTGAATGTGCGCCTAACAGAAAATGAATCAGAACCCATTTGTTGGTGTTGCGATCTAGGCCGCACATCGTGGCCACAAAATAATATCCAACGGTTCTCAGTGGCCAATGGGAGCACCGTCTTCTATAACTCACTCGGCATCGGCGAGGAACGGTAATTCTTCTTCTTCTAATTCTTCTCGCCGTAACGAAGAGAGGAGCGAAATCTAGCGATTGACACTCTCTGAAAGAGGGGAAGGATTTTTGAAGCAGGTTTTGGATCTGGGTTCGGTTTAGATCCCTTGTTCAAGCCATGGCGAGAGGGCCTCTTGTGTTGCTTCTTTGGATCTCCGCATGTCTGTTCCTTTCTTTTCGTGCTTCCTGTTTCTATCTCCCTGGTGTCGCTCCCCAGGACTTTCATAAGGTTTGTTGAGTTTGCATCTGATTTCGATTGATTTTGTTTCTTTTCTTGTTCTTCGTGTTCGCTATCGATTTTCGTTCTTGGGTTTTCAGATCTTGCGTTTGTGTGTGATTATTGGGCGTTGATGCTTTTCTTGATGTCAGGGTGGTTGATAAATTGGGAATTTCACTACCTTTTGGTTTCTTACTTTGCGTATTTGATTTCTCCCATGGTAATGCGTGTCGGTTGTTGAATTTTTTTGTGTCTGAAGATTTCGGATTTGGGAATTTAATGGGGTTGGTATTAACCGAATCTGCTTGATCTTTCGAACTGGAAATGATGTTTCAGGGACTAACAAACGAGTTCGAAATTATCAAATTATAGAGAGCATTAAATGTGTGTTTCCATTTCAGTATTGCGCTGAATCTCCGTTCCTTGTACGGATATGTGAATTCCTAGCATTTCCATGGTTTTCTGTTGAAATGCAGCTTAAGTGTTTTTTTTCTTGCCTTATTGGTGCAGGGAGATCCTCTGAGGGTAAAAGTAAACAAATTGACTTCCATTAAAACTCAGCTTCCGTACTCTTATTATTCCCTCCCTTATTGTACTCCAAAGCAAATATTTGACAGCGCTGAGAATCTTGGTGAGGTTCTTCGTGGTGATCGAATAGAAAACTCGCCCTTCGAGGTATACTGTAGGTTTTAGACAAGAATGCTTTCAGCAACCTCCTCCGTCCTCTTTTTTCATTTTTTTGTTATTTGATTCGCTCAATGATTATTTGTTTTTCATAGTTTAAAATGAGGGAACCAGAGATGTGTACTATTCTGTGTCGCAAAGTTCTTGATGCTAAAATGGCTAAGGACTTCAAGGAAAAGATTGATGATGAGTATCGGGTGAACATGTAAGGCATCCTTTTCAAGGACTAGACATCTTGATTTTGATGTTAATTTATGGATTGTTTTGGTAACTGCTCTCATCTTAAATGCAGGATTCTGGACAACCTTCCTCTTGTTTTTCCCATACAAAGGAATGATCAAGAATCTTCATTTGTATACCAACATGGTTTTCATGTTGGTCTCAGAGGACAGTATGCTGGGGTATATGTTGATATGTTTAGAATGTGAATAATTTGATGCGTGGAATCTAGATACATAAATTAATTTATATGTTTTATTTCTGCAGAACAAAGAGGAAAAGCATTTTATCTATAACCACTTGACCTTTACGGTCAAGATTCATAAGGATCCTGAAACTGAGTTATCAAGGATAGTGGGATTTGAGGTCAAACCATTCAGGTTCCTGTACTGCTTTGCTTGCCTTAGTAGCATTTTTCTAGTCCTCCACTCTTAAGATTGAAATTGCTCAGTTATATAATTTGGTTGAAATATTTTATGATTTAGTGTGAAGCATGCGTATGAAGGTTCTTGGACTGAGACTACCCGTTTGACAACCTGTGACCCACATGCAAAACGCCTTGTTACCAACTCTGAGACTCCTCAAGAAGTTGAGGAGAAGAATGAAATCATCTTTACTTATGATGTGGAGTATCTGGTCAGTTGCAATATACCTTCCATACAGAGAAATTTTTGTCATCTTTATTGTCATACCTCTAATACATGCTACTTCTGTGTTTTAGGAAAGTGATGTGAAATGGGCATCAAGGTGGGATACCTATCTTCTGATGGCTGATGATCAGATTCACTGGTTTTCAATAGTTAATTCTTTGATGATTGTCCTTTTCCTCTCGGGTATGGTGGCCATGATTATGTTGAGAACACTCTACCGTGATATTTCTAAATATAACCAATTGGAGACCCAAGAAGAAGCACAAGAAGAAACGGGTTGGAAACTGGTTCATGGTGATGTTTTCAGGCCTCCTTTAAAATCTGATTTACTTTGCGTGTACGTCGGTACGGGTGTTCAGTTTTTTGGAATGAGTCTTGTCACCATAATATTTGCTGCTCTTGGTTTCCTCTCCCCTTCAAACAGAGGGGGTTTAATGACTGCCATGCTCCTACTCTGGGTCTTTATGGGCCTTTTTGCTGGCTACACATCTGCTCGTCTATATAGGATGTTTAAGGGAACAGAGTGGAAGAAAATTTCACTGAAAACGGCTATCATGTTTCCAGCCACAATTTTCTCCATTTTCTTTGTTTTGAATGCTTTAATCTGGGGGGAGAAATCCTCTGGGGCAGTGCCGTTTGGAACCATGTTTGCTCTGGTATTTTTATGGTTCTGTATCTCAGTTCCTCTCGTTTTTGTGGGTGGTTATGTTGGGTTTAAGAAGCCAGCAATTGAAGACCCTGTGAAAACCAACAAGATCCCAAGACAGATCCCGGAACAAGCTTGGTACATGAACCCGACGTTCTCCATTCTCATTGGAGGGATACTTCCTTTTGGGGCAGTCTTTATTGAGCTGTTTTTCATCCTCACCTCCATATGGTTGCACCAATTTTACTACATATTTGGTTTCCTCTTCATTGTCTTCCTCATTCTGATAGTCACCTGCGCTGAGATAACGGTTGTGCTCTGCTACTTCCAACTGTGTAGTGAGGATTACCATTGGTGGTGGAGGTCATACCTGACTTCAGGGTCGTCTGCACTCTACCTCTTCCTCTATGCTGCTTTTTATTTCTTCACAAAGCTCGAGATAACAAAGCCAGTGTCTGGGATGTTGTACTTTGGGTATATGCTAATTGGTTCATATTCCTTCTTTGTGCTGACTGGCACAATTGGATTCTACGCATGTTTCTGGTTCACACGACTCATCTACTCGTCAGTGAAAATTGATTGATTTCTTGGGAGAAATGTTAAATACTTACACAAGTTTTTGTTGCTGTAGTAGCAAAGGAGGAAAAGGGTCACTCTGGGATAGGAAAGGCGACATCATCTCCAGAAATTGTTTTGATTTAGAAGCGGCTTTTCTTCTTTTTCTTTCAATCTTTCTTAGTACAGGGTGTTTTGAAGATTCCAGTTATTACTTCTCTTTTGTTCATGGGTTCTTTGTTATGTTCTTTTACTGCTTGCTCAATAGGAGACTTGGAGAGAATTGTAAGCAACAGTTCCGATATACTCCCTTGTTATGATAGTAATGGAGAAGAAAAAAAAAATCATGTGGTTCACTCTGTGTTCTCTTTGTTATGATATGCTCCCTTGTTATGATAGTGTAATGGGAAGTCATGTTCAAGTTGGAGACTGGAAGGCTAAAATATTACTTTGTAGACTGTAAAATTCGAACATACTCTTCTTCATGAACACTTCATTCCCTTCATTCCCTCTGCTCTGCGGTATTCACTTGCTGTGATCCTGCCATTGCGGATTCTGGTTGTCTATGTTTGGTGAAGAAATTGGTTTGCGAGATTTGGGATTAGGACAGGAAGGGGCGATGGAGATGGTGAGAGAAAAAGGGGAGTTGGCGATGGACACGTAATGGAGAAAGCGGGGAAATTGTGGAATTGGATTGAATCAGTGGTTGCAGATGATGGCAGTTGAAGTTCTGTTGTCAACTACCTCCAAATCAGCCTCAGATTCCTTCTACAAATATGACAGTTAATGCCAATGGCACTTACAAATGAAATGACATTAAAATAAAGCGAATGTCACATTTAAGATATGCATATATTTTATGGGATGACGGTATTTATATTGTTATAGGTGGTGTCAAGTCATCTACCACGACCTTTGTTGGTGCATGAAAGCTCCACACTCTGTGTCTAGTGCACATTGCCACTATGTACGTCTAGTCCTACCCATATACTCCCACTCGATGCATTTTTACGAGTCTTTCAACGAACTTGCCTCATCCGCTCCAATACATGAAGTGTTTGGTGAGCAAGCCAAACTGTATTTTGTTCATCACTCGAGGCAATGACATGAACTAGACAACCCTTTACTCTTTTTTCATCCTCTACATTGACAACAATTGGATAGGGTTAGAATAGTACCGGGACAAATCGACATTTTAGGGTTAGAAGAGTCAAGGTCACTTGGCTTTAGGTCGAATAAGACAAGTCTTAATTATATGATCAAAAGGTTGAGTGTGGTCAACTACTTAAAGTTTACTGGAACATGTTACATTCTCAATAGGGGCCTAAAAAGGAAATAAAAAGAAAATCAACTTTTAAGTTATTTAATAACAAATAAAAACAGCCAATTCAGTAATTTTATTTTACTGTATTTTTTTTATAAAAAAAATCATGTGCACATTTATGGAACTCTGACTTTGGAAAAGGTAGCGGCAAAAATAAACAAAATAAATAAGTAAATAGTGGGAGCTTTGAGAGTGGAAAAAGAAATAAAAGTTCTTCTATTAAAATAAAATAAAATAAAATATGTAAATGATGCATTATTTGACTTATTTAGAATGGGCATAATTAAATTTCAACGCTGCACTTTTTATATCTTTTTTAATAAAAACAATTTTATTTTTTGAAAAAATAAACTCGTTTTTTAATTGGAAAAAAAAGATGAAATAATGGAATTAAATGGTGATGGTATTATTAATATTTTTGTAAATAAAAAAGAGGGTAATTATAATTTAAAAGAATATATTTTGGTGGCAAAATGCACGCTTGCATGCACGTGGGATCTGTATAAAATAATCGAGAGCAAGGCTCGAACCATTATGATTTTCTTTGACTTTTCGCCTCCTCTTTTTCCTCCAACCACATCTATCTAGAACCTTTAAATTCTTAATTACCTTTTATTTTTTTTTATATATATATATAGTTTCTTTTTCCTTTTCATATCATTTATTAAATAATTTCGTAGATAAATACAAAATTAAACATTTTAAGAAAATATTATAGATTCCTTTAAAAATGAAATTATTAGATTTTTTTAAAAGTTTAGGAAATATTGAGTTATTAAGATTAGGTTTATTTAATATTCATAGTTTAGACTTAAATTTTAAATTTTTAATATGTACCTACCCCCATTAATTCTATTAATGCTTTTGTCACCAAATATTTAAATCTGCATGAAATTATTAGTGTTCCACATAATTAATAAACTATTATATTTATTGGGTTACATGAGCATTCAACCTGGAAAGCCTTAATAGAAACAAAATTAAAAGTTTAGTCAATTATCAATTATTAGAAAAATATAAATTAAGTCACAATAAGTCAAATATCTATTTTTTTGGAATTTTTTAAACTAATTTTTAATTGAAGAAAACGATCTCAATTTAATGCGTGATGTAATGAGATTCAAATATATACATAGGATGGTCAAGGATTTCTAAATATTAAAAATAAAAAAGAGATTCCATCTAATTGGTCACTTTATTATATATCTATATACCCATTAAATTAATTAGCCTTTCCTCTTTGAAGTCTTTTTTTGCTTTTTTACTTCATTTAAAATACGACCTATTAGCTCGATAGGGTTGAATATTACCCTATAGGACGACCCGATGCAAATTAAAAAACGAAACCATAAATTTCTTATTTCTTTTCCACACCTTTTGTGTTTGGGTAGTTGACATTGTTTGATTATATGTTAGTTGGGATGTTCATGTGACTCAATGATTCGAATGGCTCGAACCCTCCATCATCTCAAACCATAAGAGTTAAAGTTGGATTGTGTTGAATTTTTGAAAACCTAAATATTGGATCAGGTCAACCCAACCAACTAAAAAAATAAAGCTGACAATTCAACTCGGACTTACTTTTAAAATGATTATGAAAATTAAGAATATTTGATATATATATATATATAAGAACTGTGAGTGTTGTCACGTGTAAATATTTAATATTTAAGTTTTATGAGATTTTAGTTACATATAACTAAAAAAAACATGAACCCAACTTTAAAAATCAAAAGCGGGTTGGCTGAATCCGTGTACGCCCCTAATTCTAGGAAGATGATTAAATAAAAGAAGATGGTCCTGGTCCATTTTATTTGGTTGGAATATTAAAAAGTATGATATTGAGAGGTGAAAAGGGATTGAAAAGTATAGGAAAGCATATGATATGATGAGGTAATGAAATGAGAAAAAATTGATTAGGGTTTGATAATAGTGAAATTATGTGTGTGTTTGGGGTAAGGAATTAGGTATAGGAAATGGTTGATAATATGGGCATTACTATTGGTTGTGTGAAGAGAATAGAGGTGAAGCACCAAGCCAATGCCACTATCAATTGTCCTTATAAAAAGGCCCTCTCCAATCCCACAGGACCACTCCCATTTATTTCAATCTCTTCTCTTCTCTTCTCTTCTCTTCTCTTCTCATCATTTTTCTCTCTAAATCAATGGCCTCCCTCTACTTCTCAATTGTCGTTGTTGTCGTCGTCGCCATTGCCACTGCCATGGCCGTGCCTGAACACGAGCACGACCGGATCACCTCCCTTCCTGGCCAACCGCCCGTCGCATTCTCTCAATACTCGGGGTATGTCACCGTCAACCAACAACACGGCCGATCTCTGTTCTATTGGTTGACAGAAGCAACGTCTCTCCCTGAGAAAAAACCTCTCATTCTTTGGCTCAATGGAGGTATGTTACTAATTCAAACAAACCCTTTTGGTTTCCATCCATGTTCTTCAAAACTTCAACACCCACCCACCCTCTTATCTACAACCTTTGTCGTTGAATTTCTTCACGGGTAACCCATTTGAGCAATGAACTAAAATGCAGGCTATAGGATCTACATACATTATAGATATCAATTATTATAATATGATATTATATATTATAAAAGTCAGAGAAGGTTTTCAAAAGTTCTAAAAAAAGAGAGAGTGGTCTCTCTGCATCTCTCTCTCTCTCTCTCTCTCTGCATCTCTCTCTCTCTCTCTCTCTCTCTCTCTGTCTACCTTATCTGAATCTGCAAGAAACCAAACCAACCCAGTTCTGAATTATGATGTGTCTTTAAGTTAAGGGCATTTAGGAGCTCATATCTACCATATGCGCATTTTAGCAGTGAAGGCCTTGATATTGCTAAAGTACGCCATATTCTGAAAAAAAAAAAAAAAAAAAAAAAAAAAAAAAAAAAAAAAAAAAAAAAAAAAAAAAAAAAAAAAAAAAA